CACGTGCAAGGAGGTGGGGGCCTTGTGGGTGGAGGGTGCCCTCTCTAGCATTGGATCATTTATTATAAATTGTTTCATGATTCTGTGCTGAGGTCCACAGATAGGAATTGTGTATTCTGTAAACTTTCTTTATATCTGTGCCAGCAGTCCTGGCTGGTGTGGCTTGGTGGATTGAGCACTGGCCTTGGAACCAGAGGGTTGGTAGTTCAATTCCCAGTCAGGGCACATGCCTAGGTTGCAAGCCAGGTGTCCAGTAGGGGTGCATGAGAGGCAACCACACATTGATGTTTCTCTCCCTTCCCCTCTCTCTAAAAATAAACAAATAAAATCTTTTAAAAAATCCTATGGCAATGTCTGGGGAATGGTCTGGCTGTGAAGAGCTTGTAAGTGCTTGGGCTTTTCCCAGTCCTCTGGTGCTGGATTTTCCTGGGCCGCGGGGTTCTGCAGATGACCTGTCCAAGTCTTCGAGGGGCCTCTTTATCCTGAGAAGTAAGTGATTTGACAATTGGAATAAGACTTAAATTGTATTTTGTGATCAAAAATACAAAATTAGCTCACTGCTTTCCTTTCAGTGGACGATACCATAATGCTCCTGAAGAGTGGAGATGATGACATAATAGGGAGAATTGTACTCGTTAAAAGAAAAACCTGAAGGGGCTTCTTCAGGCAGTTCTGTGTGGTGAGCCTGAAATACCAGCCCTGTAAGGAGCTGTATTGTATGGTGGTGATGCGTCATGTGGACGTAAATTGGGGCTGGGAGCCTGGGGTTGTCGAGGCACCCTGAACAAGGCACGCACTGCACACTGCTGGGTCTGAGGTGCCGGCTTTGTAAGACTCCTCAGGAAGTGACACTGACTTTGACTGTTTCTGATTTGTAGCTGGGAGATACTTTACACATTTTTGTTACAAATAATATGAGTGGCTAATTACCTGCACAGGTGCCTGTATCTTTTCATGTCCCTGGGCCTCCCCTTGAATTTCGGCATCTTTCCTGACGTGTGTGTTGAAGTCTCCTGGAATGACGAGCTCGAAGCTGCTGGTGTATGATCGCTTAGTGACTCCGGCTTCCTTTGGAGTTGTCCTGTTGGTAGGGGCGTTTGCTGTGAAAATGATCACTTAGTTGTGTGAGCTTAAATTTGGTCTCTAAGACCTTTTGGTAAAGTAGCTGGGCTTCAAACAGTTGTGTTCCTGGACTCACGCTTCATACTGGAGACAGGTGGCAGGGACAACGGACAGTCCCTTCCTAGGAAAGGGGCCTCTCTAGCTGGGCCGATTTCCATGTGTGTCTGAGTGCCCTTTGTGCTGTTTGCGGAGGACCAAGGGTCTGGGACTCTGGGTGGTGATCTTATGATGCCTGTTTCCAGTCTGAAGTGGCCCATGAAGCCATGAGGAGTCTACCGTTTACGTCCTTCTGCACCCGCCACATGTTTACATGGGGATCCTGTGTGACAGCAGATTCCCCAGTCCCAACAAAGTTGTGCCTACTCATCAGATGCTCCTCCCTTGCCAGGGAAGTGGTTTAAACCCATACAGAGAAATGATTAAAGGAAGAAGTCCCCTTTGGGGAACAAATAGTCAAGAAAGTCAGCCTGATAAAACTGAAAATATTTTAGGTAGGAAGGGGAATGCAACTTTTGCTTTTATATCTTTGTTTTTAAATATTTTCCCCTAAATTAAAAATATCATTAAATTTCTACTTATATAAGTGATAAAAAACATTGTCAAATTCAATCAATAAAGGAAAAGTTGTGAAAGTGAGTAAAACATTCGAATAATTCTCCTTATACTTATTATGGATAATATATACAATTTTACATAAACATGTATTTATGCTATTTGTATCTTAGAATCTGTTTTATTTTGGTTTTCAAGCTCAATTCCTATGTACTTTTCCCCATGTAATTAAGAGTTGGAGCATGGTGTTCACGATTCAACAACTTTCTTTGCCCTCAGGCAGATATTGCTGCATGTGCACACACACCCCCCATACACAGGTCATGGATTTGAAGTGACTTATTGTTGTGCAGAAAAGCGCATGTCATTTGCTTTCCTGTATCTTCTTTATCTTATTCAACGAATCAGAGGCTCTCTTCCTCTTTTGATTTCTCTTGGTTCGTTTTGTTCTCTTTTTTTCCTCTTCAGACAGCTCTTTAGTTCCTGTGTTTTCATTATGTCTTCTTTAATGACTAAGGGATTGCAGGCTGAGGCTTTCGCGGTTGCCCCGGGAATCATGGGTGGTTACGAAGTGTTCTTCTCTTCATCGTCTTCTACACAGGGTCTCCTTTCTCTTTCCTCTCTGACCCGTGAATCATTTAGAAGAGTTTCCTTAATTTTCCAACTTGTTGTTTGTTTTGTCTGTTTAGTATCTGTTTTTAAATTTTCTTGATTATGATCAGGAAATGTGATGAGTAAATATCTTTACTTCTACAAGAATGTGATACCCCTGGCTGGTGTTGCTCAGTTGGTTGGAGCATTGTTCTGTGGCCGTGGAGTTGAGGGTTAGGGTTAGATTCCTGGTTAGGGCACAGGCCTAGGTTGCGGGTTCCATCCCCAGTCTGGGTGTTTATAGGAGGCAATCAGTTGATGTTTCTCTGTCTTCCCAGTGGATGCTTCTCCCTTGCACTGGTGTTCCTCTCTCTGCCTTCTTCTCTCCTAGAAAGCAGTGAAAAAACATGCTAGGTGAGGATTAAAAAAATAAGTAAAAGAACCTGATAAGATAATCTTTGTGGCCAAGTACAAGAGCTTTATTAAAGTTCTGATTGACTTAAACATCTCTATTTGCGTGTGTGTACCTTCATATGTACACACACACGGCAAACATGGCTTCTGTGCTTTGTCGTTTATTATTTTTCAAGTATACGCCCAGAGATTCTGGTTTCTTGGTCTGTGAGTCGTCTGTGCATTGGCGGTGGGAAGGGTCTCTAGCTGATTCTTACATACAGCTGATGCTAAGCATCCGGCCCCAATGAAATAGTGGTTCCGGCCCCGTGGAACAGCCCCGCCAGCTCCACTGGGGGATGTGTTAGAAACACCAGTGCCTGGGCCTCACCCAGTTTGGCTAAACCGGGAAGCGCAGGGTGAGTCTGACCCTCACTGAGGACTGAGAATCTCTGCAGCAGCACTTGACACTGAGGGTGGCTTCGTCCCCCAGGAGACATTTGGGAATGTCTGGAAACTTTTTTGGTTTCACAGCTGGGGTGTGGGACAGGGATGGCTTCTGCTGGCATTTAGGGGTGGAGGCGAGGGACGTGGTGACTGCCCTCTGGCGCACAGCCCAGAAGGACACCAGGGTGCCTCTGAGATGCAGATGGACCACGACTTTCCAACTGGGCTGCACACTCTGACCAGCCGGGGAGTGGTCACCGACTCTGCCTCCTGACTTGGTCATGATGAGGCCACGACATGGGATTTCTAAAAGCTGCCCACAAGATTACATTCACAGCCACGGTTGAAAGTCACAGACAGGCTGTTGACACAGCTAAAACCCTCAGGTTGTGATGGACGGAGCAGGACGGGCCTGAACCTGCTGATCAGCTTTCACACAAAAAGAGAGATAAGTGGCCATCTTACCTCCTAAGGTGAAGGAACAGGAAGACAAGACGCCAACTTCTGAACTTGCCCAAAAATCAGACTTCAGCTTGAACAAGCTTCTACACTGCTAGATCTAACTACCAATTTAGAAGTTCAAGCTCAATGCACAGTGAGCAGGTTATCAGCAAAATCCGGAGTATAGAAAGTGCTCCAGGATACGTGGCACCAGTTTTCTCAACACATCTGAAGAAGGGAAAACAAAGGAGAGGAAGGGAGGATGGTGCTAGACTAGAAGAAATTTATGACATCTAACCAATTTGTGCATCTTCTTTGGATCTCGATTTCAAAAAGCAACAGCACATGATGTTTTTGAGATAATCGGGAAAGATGGATCACTGAATGGATATTTCATGAAAACAAATGACGTCCATGGTTTCAGGTCATCTGTGGAGGGATGACTAGAGGTTCTGGGAGACACAGGACAGACCCTGTGTTGGTCGGTGATGGAGGGGTGTGCGGCCGTGTGGGGTTATCACAGTGTTCTCTCCATACTTCTGCATGTGAGGGCAGTCCGCAGTGAGAACAGGATGAGAAGGCACGTGCAGGTAGGTGAGAAGAAGAGCAGGTGGGGCTGGTGTCAGCCCACTGCCATGGTGGGAGGGGTTTCCACAGTGCTGAAAAAGGCCCACTGGGGTTGGGGACGAGGGTCACTGATGGCATCTGCTTCGTGCAAGAGTGAGTCTGGAAGCAGGATCCGGGCGCTCATTGGAGGGGTGCTGGAGAGGAAGACGTGGCCAACACGCTGAGGCGCTGAGGGCCCAGGGTTGTGGTGCAGGAGAGAGGTCTGGCGGAGCAGGGGACAGGGAGACTCTGGTTTCCTCAGACGGCCGTGCGGGTGGCACCAAGGTCCGTTCCGCTAATGAGAATAGTTACTTTGTGCTGCTAGCAAATGGTTATTATGAGGGCTTTGGAATTTGGGATGTGTGTGATGAACATTCAAATAAATTTTCCTTTTCTAAAATATTAAAAATGCTTTCTCATATTGTTTTAAAATGTTTTAAGTATCTAGAACAAAATTTAGACCTGTAAATGATTATGTGAATGTTTTTTAAAAATAATATAGTCACCTACACCTAAAGACATAGCTGAGTAATTTTATGAGCCCGATTTAAGTGAGTGAGTGTATTCTCCACTGGTGGTGGGGAAGGGGGTGGGGGAGACAGCAAGGGGACGAATGGGGTGGGGGGGATGACAGGGGATATGTTAACGTCCATTGTTTATTTAGGGCAGAGTTTTGTTGACCCCTCTCAGTGTGCTCGGTTATTTTTATTTCCAGCTGTATTGTCTCCTTCAAAAAGTATGACTTGCGAGCGTTTGTCCAAAGCTTTCCATTTGTTTTTCTCTCTTAATTAGCTTGGAAAGGAGAGTCCAGGAATGGCATGTGTTAAAATCGGGCTTTTTTTTGACAGGACTGTTCATTATGAAGGTGGAGCTGTATCTGTGCATGCACGGTCCCTGTGGAGACTAGAGACGCTGCGAGTCGCGTGAGTAGAGTGTCTGAATGCAGCCTAAGTGTGTAAGATGTTTCTAGTGCTCCTGATGTGCTGTGTGTGAAATGGTCACGCTAAGGGCTTCCACAGACCAGCACTTGAAGCCCTGGGAGTGGAGCATTTGCCTGCCCTCCCTCCGCCTCCCTTATTTTCCTTTATCAACCTCCACTCACCAGGTGGTAGGTAACCCGCTTTTGTCTTTAGCCTTGTTGTTTTTCGTAACATCATCACACCTGGTCTGTGCATCTCTCAACACAAAATGCTGCTGGGACTGTGACATGGCTTTGGAGGCACAAGCCTGTTGTGCATTTCAAGTCTGGCAGGCTCTGGATTGAACCTTCTTAAAGCACATGCAAAACAGAGAAACCTGAACACAAGCCAGAGCACTGGATCGATGCTGGCAGTTGTTGTTTACTTACAAATAACTTAACAGACGAGTCAGCAGTGTGGATGGTAATACAAAGTTGCTTTGTATTTGTTAAATAAGAATTTATATGTGTGTGTATTTTTATGTGGTGATTTCCAAAAGCTGTTCAGAGATTGGCTTTTAGTTCCTTTAAATAAATGCAATATTGATAATGAAAGTATCATTTTGAACTATGTTTAATAGAACTAAAATAGATTGAAAATGATTATAAGGTTCAGTTCTTTGCCTAAAGCACTGCGTTTTCAATGTATTTGTTCTCTACTACAGTTTCTTTAAAGAAATTATTGATTTTGTATTATAGATTCCATGGATTGGGGGTAAGGAACAATCTTAGTATAGAATAGCTATTTTTTGCCGGTGTAATATTTTGAGGTTAATGCTTATCTGTTGATGATTCAAGTAGTTTGGTGCTCTTCAGTTGTTTTTGCTTATTATCCTAGACAATAATTTTGAAAAACATTGTATCTCCTTGAATATGGTAAGGTATGACATAGGACTATTTTTATCACTTTAAATAGATGCACCAAATATAACTTACAATATATTATAAGCAGTGACATTATCAACTAAAATGGTAACATCATTCTTCTAAAAGTATACCCTGACTCTAAGTATTGTTGTGATTTAGTCCCATTTTATGTATTTACAAATACTTTGACATGGTCTTCTTTAATATTGAAAATTATGTATTATTCTTCTTATTAAAATTGTATTCATGTGACTCTCCCATGACATAATTTTATCCCAGTCATGCTTATGTTTATAAAACTTCTTCTGCTTACTCATACAAAAAATATGTATATAAACTGAATTCCTTTTTTATATTTCCTGTGATGTGTCTATAACTTCTATCTTAACCCTGTTAATTATAAACTGATACATTTCATCTATATAAATAGTTGATCAGATCCACCTAAATATTAAGACATCTGATAAACATTGAACTTAAAGTTAAAATTTATCGAACTACATCTGTTAAAGAGAGGGAAAATAAGAGACAGACTTATAAAGTAAAAGAAAGAAAACTAGTTTTTATGTGCTTCATAAATTATTCAGTGAGTTTAGGGAAAGGGTTTGTAAATATGTAGATGTATATCCTTTAACTTGTGTATTGTACAAATGACAGGTAATTAGAGAAATGACAGAGTCAATAAAAGTGAAGTTTAGATATGTTTTCTTATGAACAGAATCCAGATTTAAAAAATTTATAGATACACCCACCATTCATGATCATGTGCTTGAAGGAATGAAAGTTTCCTGAGCAAATGAGGTCCTAAATCTCAGTTTTTTATTTATATTTATTTTAATTATATTTTAATGATTATGCTATTGCAGTTGCCCCAACTTTCTCCCTTTCTCCCTCCCCCACTCCCTCAGGCAATCCCCACAATCATTGTTCATGTCCGTGGGTCATGTGAATAAGTTCTTTGGATGCTCTATTTTCTATACCTGTACATCCCCATGGCTGCTCTGTAACTACCTATTTGTACTTCTTAATCTCCTCACCGCTTCACCATTCACCCCCTTCCCCTTCCCATCTGGCATCCATCAAAACACTCTCCATGTCCATGATTCTGTCTCTGTTCTTTTTGTTTGCTTAGTTTGTTCTTTAGATTCAATTGGTGATAGATGTATTTATTACCATTTTATTCTTATGAAGACAGTTCTGATCTTTTTCCTTTTCTTAGATAAGTCCCTTTGACATTTCATTATAATAATGGCTTGGTGATGATGAACTCCTTTATTTTTTTCTTGTTTGGGAAGCTCTTTATCTGCCCTTTGATTCTAAATGATATCTTTGCTGGGTAGACCAATCATGACTATGCATCCCTATTTTTCATGACTTTGAATATTTCTTTCCAATCCCTTCTAGCCCACAAAGTTTCTTTTGAGAAATCAGCTGGTGGTCTTATGGGAATTCCCCTGTAGGTAACTAACTTCTTTTCTCTTGCTGCTTACAAAATTCTCTTTGTCTTTCACCTTTGGCATTTTAATTATGTGTCTTGGAGTGGGCCTCATTGCATCCGTTTTGTTTGGGACTCTCTGTGTCTCATGGACTTGTGTGTCTATTTCATTCATTAAGTTAGGGAAGTGTTCTTTCATTATTTTTTCAAGGAGATTTCCAATTTCTTTCTCTTTCTCTTTTTCTGGCACCCCTATGATGCAAGTGTTAGAATACTTGAAGTTGTCCCAGAGGCCGCTTATACTATCCTCCCTTTTTTGGATTCTGTCTTGTTGTTCTGTTGTTTTTCGCTTATGTCCCAAACCATTGATTTGATTCTTGGCTTCATCCACTCTACTGTTGTTTCCCTGCAAATTGTTCTTTTTTTCAATTAGTGAATCCTTTGTTTCTGACTGGACCTATTTCATCCTGTCGAGGTCCTCACTAAGTTCCTTGAGCATCCTGATAACCAGTGTTTTGAACTCTGCATCTGATAGATTGCTTATCTCCCTTTTGTTTAGTTCTTTTTCTGGAGTTTTGATCTGTTCTTTCATCTGGGTCATGTTTCTTTGTCTCCTCACTTTGGCAGCTTTTTTTTGTGTTTGTTTCTATGTATTAGGTAAAGCTGCTATGACTCCCTGCCTTGGTAGTGTGGCCTAATATAGTAGGTATTCTATAGGGTCCAGTGGCACAGCCTCCATTATCACTCAAGCTGGGTATGTGAGGTATGGGTTGAGTACATCCTTCTCTTGTAGTTGAGCCTTAATTGCTGTTGGCAGGTCAATGGGAGGAATTTCCCCAGGGCCAATCGGGTACAAAGACTGGCTGTGACCACTGACCACCAACCTCTGCCCTCCATGGAGGACCAGCTGTGCAGGAGCAGGGTGGTGGTCCTCTGATATAGTCTATAGCTGTCCACTAGGTATGTAGGTCCCCTGTGTACCTAGTGGACAATTGGCTTTGAGATTTCCTGGGTGGTGCAGGCCACGGTTAGCCCCAAGCTGTGTTTTGCCTGGGTCACCCTGCCTGGGCTATAAATCAATCTGAGGTGGCTGCTGCTTGTGTTTGGCTTGGAAATTCCCAAGTGAAGCCAAGCTGTAAACCTAGGGTGGCTGCTGCTTGTGCCACACAGGGGCCACTTAACAAGAACTAAAGGGGCTGGGCTCACTGAGGCCAGCTGTTGCTTGTTTGAGGGCATTTAGGAAGTTGTGAAGCATAAGTCAAGACCAGCCATTCATATGGAAAAGTCTCTGTTAACAGCTTGTGTGGGCCCATAAGTTGGGTAGGATGGAGTCTCGGGATCTTCAGAGCAGAGCAAACAGTTTTTGCCAGGTGATGGAGTCTCAGATATGGCTCTGTGGTTCTGTGACTCTGTTGGGACAGGGTTTAGAAAAAGGGAAGTGGTCTCTCCCTGCCTTTCTGTCTGGGAGAAAGCTGTCCCCCAGCTCTCACTGTGATGCCAGACACTTCAGCTCCTCCCTGTGTGCCACTGGTGCCTTTCAAGCTACTGCCCCAGTGTTGGAGCTCTGAGGGAGTGAATCAAAGTATGTTCATATGTGGGTTCTTTAAGAGGAATAGCTTGGAACTCCAGAAGTTTCTACCACCGACTCAGTCCCTGCTGGTTTTCGCAGCCAAAAGTTATGGAGACTTATCTTCCTGGCACAGAAACCTGGGCTGGGGGCCCCATGTGGGGGGTGGGACTCCTTGGTCCCAAGATATCTCTTCTGAATTTTTATCCACCACATGGGATGCTGGGTCAGCCTGTTCTGCATCTCTGTGTCTCCTACTAGTATGGATGGATGTGGTTTCTTTAATTCCATAGTTGTCAGACTTCCATTCAACTGGATTTCTGATGTTCTGAGTGATGGTTGTTCTGTAATTTATTTGTAATTTTGATGTGGTTATGTGAGTAGGTCAGCTGTGTTTACCTGTGCCACCATCTTGACTGGAAATCTGTGTCAATTTTTAGATTAAAAAAAAAAAGAATGAGGGCTTCCAAACACCTAGAAGGTCTTCACTTTTATTGTCAGCAATATTGATGATGAAGTGTAATTACATAAATCCGATGGTTCTGCACACCTCTCTGTTTCTCATCCATAGCCTGATGCTTGCTGTTGGAAACAAAAAGTGATGTGTTGGTTTTAACTTTCAATGGATGGTTGCTTCATAGAAAGGGCCTGGCCTCCTGGGCAGCCAGGGTGATGGGGCATGCACATCACAGAAGTGTTCATGTCTATACTGACTGCCCCCCAAAGCCCCGGTGACAGGGGACAGCAGGGGATGTGGCAGTAGAAGGCAGAGCAGGTGGTTTGTCAGCCATTTAGAAGGTGAAAGACAGACTTTTTGTTCTACTCTGTGAGGCTGATTGGTACCATTTCACCTTCCTGCCTACAGTGGGAAAACAGGAGGTGCATAGGTAATGTGTCATTATTTTAAAGATTTTTTTTTTCAGATTCTGCTGAATCTTTGAACTGCTTGGTGTTTATTGTAAATGTACAAATTGGACTGCATTTAATTTACACTTCTAATTATATGCAATGGCCACATAATCACTCATTTTTTATACTTAGATAATGATAATCAAAGATCCTGCTTATGTCTGTTTGTTCATTTATTTATTTATTTAAAGTATAGTTTTTTTAGATTTTGTTTATCTTAGAGGGGAAGGGAAGGGAGAGAGAGAGAAATATCAATGTATGGTTGCTTCTCATGGGTCCCCTCCTGGGAACTGGCCTGCAACCCAGGCATGTGCCCTGACTGGGAATTGAACCATGATCCTTTGGTTCACAGGCCCACACTCAATTTACTGAGCTACACCAGCCAGGGCGTATGTTTATTATATGACTTGATTTCTAAAGGTCATTAGTTATGTTATAGTAACTAGTGTTTGGGATGATCTACATATTTTTCTTTAATGAAACCCCAAACTACATATTTGTCATAATTGCAAACTTATGCAAATAAATTTAACATTGTCAAAAGTTTTTCAGTATCATGAACATTTTTATAGTTTTTAATATTAGGAGTTAAATGTAATAGGAAACCTATTCTAGTATTTTACCCCAATGCAAACTTATAAGAACTTTGTAAGTAGGATATATATTAGTTCCTGTAATGGGAATGATCATTGCAATTAAAAATATGCATTATGTATACTTCAAATTCTTCTTTCTTATGTTATAAATAGGTAATATTAGAGGTTGATATATTGTGAAGAATGACCAAATACTCCTCATTCCTTTGAGGTAATTTGAAGTAATTATAAGTAATACAGAGGGACCAGTTTTCTGTTTCCATAGGAAATTGCTTTTTATATCTATGCTATACTACAATTTTCAGTTTTTAGTAAATATTATTTTCTTGCCCCTTGATTCTCCTGGGCTTCTCTTCTTTGGGGGGCCATGGGTATATGAGACCAGGTAATTTGAGTGCCTATAAGCTGAAGAAAATATGCTTAAACATCACAGTGTTTTGCCAATAAGTGGCCAAATTCATTCTATTCTAACAGAATCCCCTTAGTGACTTGCAAGGAGCCCTGTTACAGAGCTTTGAGCATATATGCAAAACGCCCTCTAAAATTGTGGTGAAAAGTGTGTGTTGGTCAGAATTTTGGACTATTGGAAAATGAGGCCCTGGCTGGCATAGCTCAGTGGATTGATTGAGCACGGGCCTGCGAACCAGAGTATCGAAGTTCAATTCCCAGTCAGGGCACATGCCTGGGTTGCAGGCCAGTTCCCAGCAGGGGACACATGAAAGGCAACCACACATTGATGTTTCTCTCCCTCTCTCCTTTCCTTTCTCTCTCTTGAAAAATAAATAAATAAATAAATAAAATATTAAAAAAAATAGAAAAACCTTTAAAAAAAAGAAAATGAGGTTGTTTGCTATGATGATTGAGTCATTCTTTGGGAAAATATATTCAAATGCTCTAAATCATGAAAATGAATATTAAAAATAATTATGTTTTTCATAGCATTTGCAAAGAATACAGTTTAATTTTAGAAGAAGGGAATAAATAAAGCTTATTTATTATCCAACTAGAAATGCTCTTGTGGTAAAACAAACTTTAATTTAATTTTAAGATAACATGGGATTATTGTCAGGGTTTATTGCAACCCTGTATTGGCACATGGTTATTCATTTAGTTGGGGGACTTGTCCAAAGTATTTGTTTCTATAAACAAATTCATGTACAAATGAACTTACTGCAATATAGTGGCACTGTAAATTTTTAGTGATGGTATCACAAGTTAAAAAGCCAGTTTATGAAAACAGCATGAAAATGACTTACAGTTCACTAAAATAGAAAAAAATTGCAAAACAATACTCTCAATTTGTAGACTGCAGTGTTTTTTAATGATTCTGTATTAAAACAAATTTATTAATTGATTAAATCATCTTGAAATGATGCTCGAAGTCCTCCACATCTTTACCTTTTACTTTTTGGATTCAGTATTAGTGACCGTTATGTACATTCCTTTTAGAGTTTACCTTTCCTCTTTCTAAAGCACCTGACAGTATGCCCTTTATGCTTCGCCTCGAATTGCCTAACACCAGCGCTGCCCTCTCTGTCTCCTGAGATTTTATGTGCATGGACATTCTTTTCCACTCATTTATTCCTAGTTTTAAAAAATTGTTTGATTGCCAACATGTTTGTTATCAGTGGTAAGAGGCTGTTGCCGAGCTTCCTGGAAGTCCTGTGTGTCCAAAGCAGTTGCCGCTCCGCAGCGAGGCGTGTCTGACGCTCCGACCGCTGTCAGTCCTCACCACCCTGGGTGAAGCGGGGGTGGCTACTACCTTGGTTTGCCTTTTCTGCCCTGCCTCAAAGTCACTATTTTTTAAAAAAATATTTATTTATTTTTAGAGAGAGGGGAAGGGTGGAGAAAGAGTGGGAGAGAAACATCAATGTGTGGTTGCCTCTCATGTGTCCCCTGATGGGAACTGGCCTGCAACCCAGGCATGTGCCCTGACTGGGAGTCGAATCACGATCCTTTGATTCGCAGGCCTGTGCTCAATCCACTGAGCCACACCAGCCAGGGCAAAGTCACTATTTTTAAGAGCAGATCTTAATGATCATAGCTTTGCTTTTTATATTTTTTCTGTAACCTTAGTTTATATTTTCTGTTTATTATATTTTTTCCTTTTGACCTTTTTTATAGTTTTCATTTTCTTGGTTTGTCTTTTTTTGTTCATTGGTTTTTAATGAGATACTTGTTTTTTAATGTTAAATTTAAAACATAAGAATTTGTTTCTTTTTTCAAGTAAATTATACTTCAGTTTATATATATATGAATTCCAATTAATCATGATTAGGTATTGACTGTCCCACTATCTTTGAAGTCTGTGCAAATCCAAGAGAAGTTTTTAACTAGTAACTTCTGAAATCACATTTAAACTTACAATTTCTACATCTGTGACTAGTGAGTAGAGTGTAGGTGGTATTGCACTTAAAGTCAGAAGACCTAGAGTTCAGTTTCACTTCTGTTTACTGTTAGTCGCATACACTGAATGTCACCTGATTGTCCTGAATGCCCGTCTTGTTCTGTGACGTGACATTAGTACCACCTGCATCCTGAGGTGCTTGAGCACACGCCCCAGGGCAGCACGGGCAGAGCCCTGTGCTCATGCTGGCACGTGCAGCCCACCGCTGTCTGCCCTGCCGTGAGGCTGCCGTTGGGTCACCCTGGCCTGTCTTCCTCAGGTGGAGCGGAAGCCACATAAGATGGGGCCAGCCTTTCCGACTGCGCCACGTCACAACGGGGAAGTACCTGAGCCTCCTGGAAGACAAAACCCTCCTCCTGGTGGACAAAGAGAAAGCTGATGTGAAGTCAACAGCGTTTACCTTCCGATCTTCCAAGGTAAGATGTAATCCGTAACGTTGGATTTCCTGTAAGTAACACCGTTTCCTCTGATGTTGGAAGTGTGCAAAAATTGACAAGAGCATGGCTGACATGCGTTTCTGAATTCCCAGCTTCTCTTCCATCCATTCCTCTCCAGTAAATCCCACTTCCTCAACCTCCGACCCCTGCCCGGGTGCCTCACCTGCTCCCTAACATATACCACGTCCGCCCAGCTCCTTTCTGTTGCCTTTGCTCTGCCTGTACATGCAGCTAGCGCAGGGCTCGTGCCACTGGGAGTGTGGCAGTAGAGCTCGGCAGAGCCTCTTCTCAAAGGTGCAGTGCACGTCCACTCCTGACCCCTCTTCTTACGTGACTCACTGGTAAGGACAGAACCTCCAAGAGTGCCACTGGGTCGTCAGGGGGACTTGCTGTGGACCAGACGGTGAATAGCAGGGAGCAGTGAGTGCACGTGAGTGCTGTTGGAGGGCTAGCCTTTCGCGTGGTACCTGGCTGGTTCCAGCACACTGGCTGGTGCAGTGGGCTCCTAAGTGTCCCCAGCAAGACAATGTGCTGTGTCCTGACAGTGTGCTGTGTCAGCAACAGCTCAAAGTCACAGGTTCAACTGACAAAGGCCAGCGTGGATTGCATTCATTTTTTCTCATGGTTGTGTATTGCTGTCCTTAATTTAAAGAAGCTTGTGAGATGGGGCATAGTGACAGGAACGGCATTTACTGGCTAGTTTTGGTCTTGGAAATACTACTCTTTACTCCCCAGTTGTAGTTGTAGGTGAAGGTAAGTTTGGCTGAGACCAGAGCAGCTCTGAAAAGGCAGGGCCCGTGGGTGCCCCCGACTTGTCTGTCAGGACTCCTGCTCTGGGGCATACAGACGGTGGAGGTCTCTTGGAGGGACAGCCAGCGTAGGCCCCTGTTTTCTGTGGTGACAGTGAGAGAGAGCTGGTCCTCTCCAGTGGGGAATCTCAGGACCCATGCACATGTATTTGCTGTGTGGGCCACAGGGCAGCTCGGCAGTGGTGCCTGCATGGGCGTTCGATGGGCGGTGCTGTGGGCTGAGTCACCTGTCTGGTTAGAAGGCAGTTGGTCTCACTGTGAACAAACTCGGTGTCACTGGGCTTTTTCCTTAAGCCTGACTAAGCAGAGGGGTAAGGATCCGTGAGTTTTTTCCAGCGGTATTACCACAGCCCCAAAAGAACCATTTTCAGCCCACTACAGAGGAATCAGCTCTCTGATGGAGGCAGCCCTTTCCACATAGAAAACAGGTGGCTCTTCAACTGATAATGCAGCTTTACTGCAGAACGTTAGCTGGAAGGCGTGATCGGCACCCTAGCAGACGCAGCTCCTCACAGTTACACCCCAGACACACAAGCCCTGAGCAGGAATATCGGATGAAGTCTCTAGAAAGACTGTCAAGACACGGCATTACAAGAGGCAAAATATGTCTAGCGGAAATTGGAGGAGACAGAGAGGCAGGTACAGTAAGTGCTCTGATTGACTCTATGAAGCTGCTAAAGTCAAAGTATATTTTCTTAAAACTAAAAAATTGAATGATAGAATTGTGAGATACTTACCAGTAAAAAGGCACATCCTGAAGGATAGTCAGCTCTGCAAAAACAAGGTGGTGGGAGACAGAGGGAGACACCGCTGTGTCACTGATGCTGTCCAGCCTCAGGAGAAGGTGGCGAGGGTTTGTGAAGAGTCCTGGACACCCACGGCCGGAGGTGGAGGTTCGTGGTCAGCAGAGACATAGACCACATGGGGTAATGGCTAAAACACGCAGAGCGGAGGCCCAGTGTATCTGCCCCATCGGTGCGTGTAAATGGGCTACAACCACAGTTTAAAATGACAATTTCACATTGGCTCACGCAGTACAATTTATGCTGGTGCTGAGACACACGGTAAACAGCTTCGTTTGGAGAGGTTGTAAGTGAAACGATGGCTGATCAGTAGCAGGGCAGTACAGACAAAAAGAAAGGAGTCTGGCCCTGGCCGGGTGGATCAGTTGGTTGGAGCATTGTCCCCGTACCAAAAGGTCGTGGGTTCGATTGCCAGTCAGGGCACATGCCTAGGTTGTGGGTTCACTTTTCTCTTGGGGCATGTATGGTAGGCAACCATCGATGTTTCTCTCTCACACTGGTAATTCCTCTCTGTCTCCCCTGCTTCCTCTCTCTCTCTAAAATCAGTGGAAATATCCTCAGGTGAGGATAAAAAGAAAAAAAAGAAAGGGGTCTGATGTTATCCTGGGGCGGAGGGCTTGGGCTGAAGACAGCACTGAGTAAGACAGAGGACACTCCCCAGTGCGGAAGGGCGCGCTGCGCTGGAGGTGGAGCGGTGGGCAGAACTGCGCAGCAAATACAGTGACCGGGTATCGGAGTCCGGACAGCAGAGCCTGCAGGGGGCGCAAGAAGAAACACAGGAGAGCCGGAGTCAGAGACACCAGTCAGGTTTCTCTGTTCGGGACAGTCAGGCAGGCGATGCATGAGAAAATGTGCACAACACACAAATAACGTGCAGAGTGACATTCACTCACTCAGGAATGCTGGAAGGGCAGGGACCTGGCTGGTAGCTGGGGACATGCTCACAGTTCTGCCTCCTAGAGCTTGGTGAGGCCACTGGGAGGCAGGGACCTCCCCCACCACGTGCCTTTTTAGAGCCAGCAGCTGCTGCCAGTCTGTGGCCCCCAGCAGGTTGGCTAGCAGAGCCGAGACCTCTCCGTGACTGCCTGCCGGGGCTCTGGGCCCCGTTTCACCAGAGGGGGTGCCCAGGGCAGGGCAAGCACATCACTCATTCAGTCACCAGGCTGAGATCACAGGGCAGCCGGTGGACACGAGATTGTCTGGGCCCCAGCCACCTGGCCGGACTGGGTTTAAACAACCAGGCCCAGCCAGAATCCTGGGTGCACCGTGGCTCAGGGAGCCCAGGTGGTTCACCCTGCACTGCACCCAGCCTCCCACAGCCGAGGGGCCGCCCTGCCCTGCCCTGCATGGGCTCCACAGGCCTGTCGCTGTCACCTGACCATGGCCCCCCAAACCTACTCTCGCTGGGGACATGGGAATATTGAGTTCATCTTTGTTTTTCATTGTTTCTGTAACAGTCATATTCCATGGTCTCCAAAAATCCTGATTTCGCTGTAGGAAGCTGAATACTGCCACCCTCTTTCTGTGTCCTTTTTTTCTGTAACAATCCTAATTCTCCAGGAGGCAGATGGGTGCCTCCAGCCAAAAGGACCTGGGGTGTTCCAATGAGAAGGACTTGGAGAAAAATACACGAGCAGATGTTAAAGCTTTCTGCCATACATGTAACTACTAATCTAGCAATCTGTTTTTTTCCTATTTGACAGAAATAAAATAAAGCCTGAGTAAGTTAACTCTATCATTCTTTGCCATGGCAGAGAGTCAAGTGTTTCACAAATACAGTTGATAGCTAAGTGATACTAGCTGTTGGAATATGTTGATCTGGAAATATGTCCATCAGAATAATACTGTTGAGTGAAAGAAAAGTACATTGTAGTTACAAAATGTTATTGTTTTAATTTAAATAAACCTCTGTGCGTGTTTGTATCTGACCAGACAATTGATAGGGAAGGACTGCTCTACCTTTACATTTGGGTGCTTCAGAAAGATCAGACTAGAAGTACTTAGGAACATGGGTGCAGGGCAGAATTTTGCTCAACTTTAAAAAAGTCAATACCTAGATTATTCTGCGCGTTAAAGTAGCCATATTTCTTTGTAAAAAAAAAAATCAATTAAAATACAACCACTGCACTGACATTCTTGGACGTATGTTTTGTGCACATTTTTAATTTATTTCTTAAGGATAGATTTCCAGAACTGGACATGCTGACTAAAAACTATGCATATTTTTAAAAGCTGTTAATGAATGTTCTTCCTCACCATAATAGCCTTTGAAACCTTTTTCTCCAGTGTCTCTCCTAATACACACTTGGAGAATTTTGGCTGTTTCTGGATTCCAGCCACCAAGTCATGCCATCACCACCTCACGCCATCGCGCGGAGAGCAGGCTCCCACACCCCTTCAGTGTCTTTGCGGCCTGGCTGCTGCCTGGCACCGTGTGTGGGACCCGCTGCCCTGTGCAGGTTGTGCTGACTCCCTGACGAACGCTGTGAGTTTGTTCAACTCACACTGATAACTGAGCGGGATGATGTGGTTGAGACAAGAGAAGGTGAAGCTGAAGGCAGGAAAACGTTTTAATTTTAAAATCACAGTGTAATTCTAACTCTAAAATAATGGCTGGTTATGTAATTAAAGTTTTTTTCCAGGAGGTAGAGACAGTAAATCTTTTTATAATTTCTTTCTAAAATTATTTGATTATTATATACTTAACACATAGTCATTATGGAACATTTTAAAAAGGAACACAAAAATGTGGCAAGAGGAAATTAAAATCATGTACAACCCATCATTTAGAAACAATTGTGTTTCTAAATGTGTGTGTATTTTACTTTTTAGCAAATATCTGATATGAAATAAAATAGGGCAAATTATATGCTATGTTGTGTATAATTTTTATTTAATATACAACTGTCCATCTTGATTAATAAAATTTTGACAGTAATTCAACATTCTGTTATATAGATTTATAGCGAGTTATTTAGCTACTCCTGTTTATTTAATGAGTTTTGAATTTTGTACTTATAAATTGAACGTTTTTGTCTCCACATTTTTCTGTATATTGCTGATGCTTCCTTTTTGAAAGTCGGACAGGTTGTTTAGGGAATATGAGGTTTCTGAAGGTGTCGATTCTGCGGGCTCTCAGCCGGCAGTGTCTGCAGGCTGCAGCCTGGCGTGGCCACCCGCTTTGCGCCAGGCATGGTCCAGGGAGTGGACGCGTGCAGACAGAGGGCCCTTCAGAGCTGGGTGCCGGTGTTCATTCTGTGTAGCAGCGCAGGGAAGTTGATGTTTCTGTGCACCCTCATCAACAGATAATTCTTAAAAAATCTTTGCTAATTTTGACAGATAAAAGTAGTTGTATCTTATATACTGT